GCAGTACGAAAGGTACATAACATAACATTCATTCTACGGCAAAGCAGTGTTCGTCGTCTTCTAGACATAATGTGTCGTTTTCAAAGGAAAGTATTATCTTTTATTCTGAAGCATTCTTTGATCCAATCCATTTCTTCCTTTATTGTGTGTATTAACATTGTTGAGATTTTTTTGAGCGTATCAAATTACTTCATGATCTTTCCAACTTATGTTCCCGTCCATTACAGAACTGTCTTGTTTCTAACTAAGCGTGATTGCCTTGCATTTTGTTTCCTTTTTTTCCTTAACTTTGATCGTTTTATATGTTTGGTTTGCCACAACCTACGGAACTACTTTGGTGCGGAAAGGTATTTATAGAGGTGGGGAGCTATTGACTAATCAATGAATAGGGACAAATAAGATCAAAAAGAGGTGTGTCCAGCTGAGTTTTGAATAACTCAGAACATTCACCCGTGTAGGGTAATAAATTTATTTCTTTGCTAATCGTTGTCCATAAATGGTACGTTCGACTTTTCATATCGTCAAAGCGATAATCACTGTTGAAAAAAATCTTTATTCCAAACCAGAAATCCTGGTATGGATTATTCATACTGACAGACGTTTTTTTCTCTTCTACGTTAGGATGCGTTTGGAACTGTTCTGTTACAGGTAGTTTTAGCATGCTTATTTCTTCCACCACTTTCGTCTGTCTGTTGTCTTAGTTTTCACCATAAACGGGCTAGGTACTCAATCATACCTACACTTAAAATCAGAGGTGTAAAATGAGCCGGGGGACTCCAGACAGGACATGTCGTGCTTCTTTCCCAAAAGTCTGTGGACAACTCAAAAGAGGTTGCTATGGTTTTCCTGTTGCCGTGATTAAACGTGATTGGGGGAAAAGTCAACTGAACAAAACAAAACAAAACTAGACTGAAAAACAAAAGCAAAAGCAAAAATAAAAATACACAGTTCTCTTCGGTGGTTCCTAACTTCAAAAGGAATTATTTGTGTCTAGTTGGAAGTTATCCCCCTCCCCCCAAAAAAAAACAAAAAACATCCTATACGTGTTGTGTGTGAGCTGCTCACGAGTGCACTAAGTAACAAGGAATGTCGATGGCTTTAATACAGGTTTCCTTTTTGGGGGGGTTACCCTTAGCTCTGCACAAACCCTGCTACAAAACAACATAGGTTCACTGGAATTTCGTGTGTGATGAGTGGGAGCTTGTACACAGTGAATGAAAATATACACATTTACATTATATTTGTACTTTGAAGATGGCAGGAGCCTTTGGTCTCTCACCTTAATCCGATCAACCCTGTATTTGTCGATCCTGTCTAGTTATTTTTAAGCACGAAATACCCATTCAAACTATAATTTTGCGCATGTATTAAAAAGGTAGAAAGAACACTATTGAGCCTTACTTTCCGTCGAAGAAACAGGAAGTTGACTTTTGATTTCTTTTTCTTTGTCAAGTGATGACCAGTATTAAACTGAACCTCTTTTGGCCTGTCTCCACAGCTCTGATAGCGTCATCGGTACCATGTGAAGTACATATTACGACCATGAGCTCAGTATCTGATGGCAGTACTGTGGTAGGCCGTGTGGGGCGACTGGGAGCTGGCCTACTTCATTACCAGGGTGGCGATACCATCTCCAGGCACGGCGCAGAAGTTACAGGAGTCAAGTCACAGAGGAGAGCTGACCATTACACGGGTACTTCAGATGTAGAAAGACGGGGATCCGAGCGAGAAGGACGGTCGTCAAAGCCTGAGAACAATGGGGGCGTTAACATTGGAAGTGGTTCCCACAGAGCAGAGGGGTATGGTGCGGAGACACCGGGCCGAAGGAGGTCACAGAGACAGGCAGAGGACGGATATTCTGACTGGAGGAATGATGCTGGGAAAATGAACAGACAACGGAGTGTGGAGTCTGTGGAGCTTTCGAGGGATGATGGGAGACGAAAGCAGTCAAATAGAGATACACACAGAGAAGCACATAGAGAGACACACAGAGACACACGAAGAGACTCGAATCTCGAACGAGATCCAGAGAGTTCGAGTGAGTACTCCCTGAGAAAACGCGACAGCACGTTGAATAGCGTGGAGGACGGCAGAGGGGCTTATTTAGAAAGCGACCATCTGTCTTCGTCCCATAGAGACAGCTCTAGAGGGCAGTCCCGGCAGGGTGATTCCTTGTCGAGACGCAGGCGAGGACGCGAGGAGCAGCGAGGGGATGGTCAGAGCGAGCACCGGGAAGCAAGACATCAATCACGGTCTCGCGGTGACAATCGAGAAGATTTTGGAGAGGCTCATTACGGGAGAAACAGCCGTGGTCAGACACGGAGAGACGAGAAAGATATGCACTCTCGTGAGCGACGAAGCAGCTCGTCTGTGAGGGATGAAGAGAGAGGTGAGGTGTCTCGTGGGTATAGACGAAATAGACAGTCGGTTGAAGACTTTAGTCGCCTTGAGCACAGAAATCACGACTGTGACAGACCTCGGGGCGTGGATGAAACAAGGACATTGCCTAGGAATAGTGGTCATGGCGAGCGTAGAGAACGTAGGATAAGTCATTCCAGCTACAGGGACGACGGTGGAGAGGACGATCAAGAAAGCTTAGTGTCGTACCGCAGTACACAGAGCCGCAAGCGCTCAGAGTCTCGTCAGAGTTTGCTGGCGGATGAGGATCTGGGAAACCATCGAGGCTCTAGCTCCCGGTCTCGCCGCGACAGTCAGACATCACAGCATGGGGACAGACACCGACATGCCGACGCTTCTAACGGGGGCCGAAGGCGCAGTCAGATTTCTGTCTATGATGAGGGTTACAATGGTCCAGGAGCTGTCCCTGACGCCCGTCTGGAAAACAGCTCTCTCAGACATCGCGTTCAATCTTCGGATCGTCATAATAAAGACCACAGCGAGCATACTCGACGACGTAATGGGAACAATCATTCCCCTACACACCAGAGAAGACACCACAGCCAAGCTCGCTCTGAAATATCATCGGACTACCGGAGGTCTTCTGTTGCGTCTGCCTCAGAACACAACTACTCCCGTGCTTCCATGCCTTCGGGTCAACCTCGTTCCTCTTCCCCGAAGGAAGAACATGAAGCCGTGACAATTTCTTTCAGCAAGCCTGACATCAACCTCAGTCGCCGCTCTTCTTCCTCCCGTTCCAACCATGACACGGGATTTGCTTCCTCTTCGTCCTCTCCCCGTCGGGACGATTCACAGTCACGCTTTTCTGATATCTCCCCATCTCGCTATGGTGAGGATGATGGTCACAGGTCACGGCATGAAGAATCTGGGCGTCGACATAGGGCTAAGATGATCAGCAACAGTAGTTTAGACGTACCTGGACACGTTCTACGCAAAGACTTATCCCTGTCCTCTAGCGGGCGGGGGGATTCGAGTTTCGAGGAAAATTGCACAGAAAACATTCCGGTATGCGAAATCAAAAAGGGCAGTGAGTATCGCTATAGTAAAAACTCTACATTACCGAGAGAATCTTCCGGAAACAGACGGTCTCGACAAGACAGTGAGACTAGCCAAATGACTAAATTGACTTCTTGTGATGATAATCGACATGACGGCAAGAAGCCCACTGAAAACCTCGTTAGATCCAAGCAAATCAGCCCATCTACCACAGACATATCCAAAGAACAACGCGAATCTCCAAATGCTTTATCGCGAGTAGATGTCTCTGAGTCGGCCAGCTCGTCTTCCACTCTGAGGGGAGCAACTGGAAATTTCGCCTCCAAGGCTTCCATTGCGGGGAGCATCTCTTCCCTTCTAGGCAGAGCCACCAAGGATCAAACAGGCCGTACCAGTACATCCGAAGAGACACCAGTGGCCACCTCCGTAGCTGACAAGTGGAGGCGACTCAAACAAGGGATCATTCCCGACTCCGGGTCCCCGTCCACCTTGTCTAGTGGCAAAGAAAGCGCTGCTTCTATCATATCTGCGGCTGCAGCTCGGCTCATGAGCTCGATGCCGCCTATAGTTCAAAACACATTCCCCAGGAGAATGTCTCAAACAAATGGAGCTTCGATGGGAGAGAAGACTACACCTGGGAAGATATCTGAACCCAGTACATCTCCAAGAAATGAAAGCAATACTTTGCCAAAGAATGAGATTAAACCTTCCATGACCACAAGTGACAGATTATCAAACATAAAGAACGACGCAACATCGTCTCAGGCCAGCCTGGCGACCTCAGTGCAGCAACCGAAGAGTTCCCAGAGACCAAGCGTCATCTCGACGCTGTCCAATCACAACAAGAGAGCTGATGCCTACGCCGTAATGACTGAGGAGAAAGACAGTCCAGAATCAGAAGAGAGCGGCGAAATGGTGAGTGGCGTTTTATTTGTATCCCCTTAGCATCTAGCTGAGAACATATAACCCAACCGCTTCTTGACTTCTTCAAACCAGACTTTGACTTCTTTCAAAATGTTTTCCTTGTATAGTTCTCTGGTAGCATTCTTTACTCGCAGAGCCTATGGTATCTGGCTATTGGTAGATAGAAGTTATCCAACCGTCTCTTGATTTCTACAGAACAATGGTGCCTTTTTTATATTTGTCCCCTGTAGATTTGTTTTGGTAGTGTTTTTGTAGCTTAGCTTTTCTGTGAATACATTGCCTCCTCCATGTTATGTATTGTGCATGTCCGCTTTGTTTGAAGATGGCAGTATGTATGTGCTCAATGGTCTTCCTGTTGCGTTTTATCACTTGTGATGTGTATGAACTATAGTCTTGCTGCGGCGTCTGTGAAAAAAAAATGTCTACAAAATCCGCGTTAAGTCAATTCAGGTGTGGAAGTGATGGTTGCGGTGTCCATGTGCTGGCGAGCTGTGATTTCCTAATTTTGACTGTTAATTTACCTGTGCTCGATTATGCTGTACTCTCTCTGTATAAGATAAGTATTTGCCCTCAGTGAATCCATGTAAACACTTTCCAACGACTTTTCCTTACTTTCATGAGGATCCATTACCCTCGCCATTCATCTGGACACGTTGATAGTAAACAGCAGCCTTTCAAATCCGATAAATATTGATCACTGACTGATTTGTACTTCGTTTTTTTAAACTGGTAGAAAACATTCATTCTTGTGGAGCTACCCGGGTCTTGGCTATGGCAGTTATTAGAATGTCTATTTTCTTTATTTGCGTGGCCCCTTGGGCCTCCAAGAAGGTTATGTGGAAAGGTTGTAATGGTAGCTGGAGTGCAGAAAAGATCAATAGCACAGAATTCTGATTTTCCATATAAACCAGTAGTTGGTTTTTTTTTAAGTCAGCAATTTCCGTTTCACCACGTTCAATTTGTTGCTGATGTCTGTAACAAACATCTTTGGAGCTGTTTTTAGGCTGAGGTGCTTATTGTTGTTTGTTTGTTGTTGGGGGGGGGGGGGGGGGGGGGGGGGGGGGTT